TGGGTGGGGGCAGTACCCAAGGGAAACCCATGACTTCCGAGAAGCTTGGGATTTTACGGTTTGAGGTTTCATTTCTTGGAGCTGGGGGTTTACCGGCTGGGAGCCTGAAAGGGTGTACCTGGACCCCAAAAGTATGTAAAATAATGGCTTTTAGGGCTGTTATTATGGGTTTAGGGTTATTATTTTACATACTTTGGGGGTTTAGGTAGGGTTCAAGGCCCCAAACCCTCTTGAAATGGTTCTGAGCTTGTCTGGGTTGCTGTTAAGGAACTTAAATTAAGTTACCATAATGGGTATATAGAGTAAATAATAGGGTTTCCCCAATATAGTAACTTAATTTAAGTTCCTTAACAGCAACCCAGTTGTAGTCTAGGATTGAGGGTGCGTGGGGTCATGTTGAAAGTACTAGTCGAGATGAGACACCTAAACCCGAAGCCTACAGAGCGAGGGTGTTGAGGAAGCACTGTTTCTCTTTTTTTGCCGGTCCTAAGTTCTTTATTGAACCTTCTCAACGCCCCCTACACGGACACTCTGGAGACTCCCTATACTTGCCCGTACACCATGCCAGTTTTTGTTTCATTTTGGACTTGGTTCTCCAGTATTCCAGCGGTAAGCCCCAAAATGCGGACCTAGATGGCCTCAAGACTAAATCGCCAATCCTCAGCCCAAAGCCTTGAACCCGAAGCCCTAAACCCTAAGTCCGAAGCCTGCACCCTAAATCCTAAAGCCTATAGTCCCCCTTAAGTAGATAGAATATGGGGTATATGGGGATCTTATTATAACATTCCCAAAGCCGTATTCTATCTATTTTAGGTAAGTCCTAAGCCCTAAACCCTAAGAAAGTCGTGGTCAACTTTCTCTGCTCCAGGGATGACTTGGCTGCCATTCATGGGAAACATGGGTGTTTAGGGTTTAGGTTTTAAAAGTTTTGGGGTTTAGGTTTAGGGTTTATGGCTCAGGGTTTAGGGCTTAGGGTTACCATTGGGTAACCCCAATCCACCACATGAAACCATTTATAGTCATATGAGCTCCCTAAAGGGGTTTATACAGGGGATTATATAGGGGAGTACTAGAGGGGTTGTCATGGGGGATGCTAGGAGTTTGGATATAGCTCATATGATGGCTTTGGGGTCCTCATATTAGGGGTTACCCAAAATCCTCTTACTAGCCTTGGGTTTCGTGTCAAGGTTCCGGGTATAACACGGATCCCTGCATGAAATGCTACCATTTCGAGACCAGTGATTACAGCGCACTTCCAACGAGCAACCTCGTAGTGAATCAGCTGATGCCCCGCGCACACGTGCGAAGGAGGAAGTACATCCACCCTCGCTTACAGGAGAAGAAAAAGGTGTGACTTCGTTCTGTACCTGGAGCCCTAAGCCCATAAACCTGAATCCTTCTCAAACTTTCACTCTTGCGACATCCCTCTCAAGCAGCCATCTCAATTCCTTGCAGGCTGGTACAGTCTATGCAGGCTTAAACCTTCAGGCTTAGGCTTCGGCTTGAGGGTTTAAGGGTTTTGGTTTTATAGTCCCCCTTAAGTAGATAGAATATGGCTTTCGGTATTGTAAAAACAGATCCCCACACACCCCAGATTCTATCTACTCAAGGGCGGTTATAAGCCCTACTGGAGCCTAACGCTGCCTAGAGACATGCACGCGTCAACTCCCATGGGACAGGCTCGCCTAGAAACTCCTTGGGACTGAGCTTGGACCTTAGACCCAGAACCCGTCGGGATTCCCCGATATTCCCGATATTCCTATTATAGGTAGCTAGGGGTTAACCCTTAGTAGGGGCCAACATAAACCCCCAAATAGCTATTATACTCCTTATTGTAGGGAGCCTCAAACAGGTACCCCTAATTGTTGGGAACCCACCAAATAGTATGATCAGGGTTTCACCTCTTCCCAGGTCTTGAGCTATGGGAACACTGATGTACCAGCCTTTTGAATTTGGCCTGCACTACTTGGAGGGTCAGGGAGACTTAGCAAGTAGGTTAGTCCGCCCCCACAAGCCATATACTACACCCAATTATCCCCATCATAGACCCACGTACTGAGTCCCCATGAACCTAAACCTTAAATCCTAAACCCTATACTTACTAAGTCCCCGGACCCTCCAAGTACAATCCTGGACCTGATCCAGCTAGGTATTTGGCATCCTGCACAAGCTATCCGCCCGAAATCCCATACACAAGGAACCCCCTCGGGCTTAGAGTTTGGTTAGGGTTCAGGGTTTAGGGCTTAGAGCTTGGGCTTCGAAAACCGTAAGTCTGCCTACTATCCCGGTCATTAGCACCAGACCCCGCCACGCCTTGGGGGCTCAGGTACCGAGGTCGAGTTTCACCACCACCCACTCACAGCCGAGTTTCAGGCCACATTGCAACGGCTGGGTGTGTCTCTGGCTTTCTGGCAACCAGCATCTGCAACCCGCGAGAGTGCGCAGGGTTCGCTGGCCACAACTACCAGCAGCGACAGTGAGGGGCGTGCCTGCCCTGCTCGTGTCGCAATACCGTCCATGCGAGGTGGCAAGCGTGCCGCAGCAGCAGGGCCAGCAAAGGCGCAGCCCAAAAAGAAGCCCCGCCAAGCGCAGCAGCCTGACAGGGAGGCGGACGCTGAATGCCCGGCGAAGACCGGCGGCAGGCCGCGGAAAACGGACGAGAACCCGTACTCAGTTACCTCCTCTAACCAAAGCGAGACCCCTTATGAAGGGGTCGAATCGTTCTTGAAAGCGCAGAAAGAGTGGGCATGCAAGACCGTGCCTGGCAAAACCTTGAACGCGAGACACCAGTGGTATGATTATTCTGCCGGGTACAAGGTCCTGCTCTGGTGCAACTCTTGCAAGGTATGCAAAAAGAAGCAGGGTTGGAAAGGCTACGTTACTTACAACGTGCAGACCCAGCAAGTGGACCGTCAGGTCACTCCAATTGCCATGCATGGTGATTTTGCGGCAATGAAAGCCTGGACGCCTCTCACCAGCACAACAGAGGCAGCGTTGAGGGAGCGCCTCAAGGCCGATCCACATGCGAATTATCTCGACTTGGCCAAAAGCTTGCTAAAACCACCCAGGCCGAACTTATTCCTGACACTTTCTTGCAGACCTGGGTTCAGAATCACCGGCCACAGCACGAGGGCCAACGCAGCCGCAGCAAGAGTAAGTTTGGTTGGAACCACTCTGACTGGCAGCAGCTGCGTCGTGATCTCGGGGATGCAGATGATGTGTCGGCCGATGCTGATGGGGCGCTTCCAGATGTCCTCAAAGTTGCAGCCGCAGATTACAGACCGGAGGCCACTGTCATGGTCTTTGTCAATCCCGCATTGTTCTCTGAAGTGATAAGCCGTCTTGCCAACAAGGATTACATCAAGCTTTTTGGGGATGGCACCTACCGCCTCATGGATGACGGCTGGTCCTTGCTTACTCTCGGTGTCTTGACGAAGCATTATAGTCGAGACGGAACCTCGTATGCGTTCCGCACCACTTTCACACCCTTGATTTTCGCAGTGGCAAACACAGAGCGACAAGAGACCTACGAGTGCTTGTTCCAAGCAGCCCTGCGCTGTGCCAAAGAGTGGTGGGACATTGATTTGTCAACGGCTGCCCGGCAGTACCACGCCGACTTGCACCCCGGCGAGGATCTTGCCCGCGAGTCCATCTTCCCCAATGCATTGCGCGTCGCAGATGTTGCTCGTGTCATAGGCTCCTGCAAGCGCGGCGCGCGACGGAAGGCTGCGCACCAGCCCAAGGATGAGAAGATGGCTGCCTGGCGGGGCGGGCTCTTCTCCGTTGCCAAAAAGCACTTGTGCAACAAGAAGCTGCTGCCGTTGATCCAGAACGTTGTGCACTTGCTGCGGTCGCTGCCGACGGCGCTGCTTTTCCATAGCGTGGCAGCGTTGCTTTTCAGCGCACTGCTAGCGCAGGAGCAAAAAAAGGTCGTGGACCGACTCCAGCGGTTCTACTTCAACACAGTGCCAGCCCAGGATGCTCGGCGATTGTATGGACTTTAAGTCCTTGCCAGGTAACGCTGACTACATCTGGGAAGCCCCCTGGTGGGCTGGTCCTGAGCGCCTTCATTCAGGTTCCGCCAGCGGAACTCAAGCGCAGGAGTCTTGGCACCGCCACAAACTCAAGAAATATTTGGGCAACCTGCGCACAAGTGTCCCAGTGCTGACCAGGCAGCTGCAGGCGTTCGTGGCCACACACCCTGAGCCAGCTTCGTCTAAAGGACGGAACCTTGCCCGATGTCCCCACAGAGCCCTTCTCCGACAAGTGCGGACTCCGTCAAGAAACAGCCCTGCCTGCACTCAGCTGCATTCTCCAAAATCCTTGCCGCTCGCGAGCAGTCCGAGCTTGACAAGGCGCTCAGAGAGCTTTGCGGTGCAGAGAACGACATACAGGCTGTGCTTCGTGTCCTGGCGTCCAATGTCCTTGTTGCCCTTGGTCCACAGGCGCGAGCACGTTGGCGTCGTGCTAGCGCAAAGGATGCAGCGGATCAGACGTACATGGACGTGTTGTGCCATTTGTGCAATGAGTTCTGCATGCGTGGCACCTGCGAACACGTGCGCGTCGCTCTCCTTGATGCAACCATTGTTTCCTTCACCCAAGCGAAAATGCCTAGCAGATCAGGGGGTGCAGCCGCGCCTACTTCTGACATGCCGCACGTGGATTTAATTCTGCCCGCGTGCGGGGCTGCCGGGCTGCCGAAGCTCCTCCCCGCAAGGCCACCTGCCAATAAAAATCCGGCCGTCCTCCACGCCCGTCAGGCGACCAGGACCTGCAGTTTAGGAAGGCGCTGCGTCCTATCCTGAAGGCTGCAGACACGCTCTATACGCCCCACTCCTGGCGCGTGAGCAGATGATGCCAGCGGACATTGCTCGCTTGGACATTGCCACCCTGCGTGCCATCTGTCCGACTCTTCCTGCGGCTGTCCTGCTTCGTGTGCAGCGAGAGTCTCAGAACGTCCGGGCCCCGGGCAACATCTTGCCTCAACTCATGTTTATGTCCCTATCCTGCTAGCTGTCAGACTCTTTTTCTAAGGATGCCAAGCCAGATGAGCTTGCCAGCAGCTTACTCTGCAGGACTTATTGCCTCTTCAGATTTGCCATTGAACACGGCAGGCCCCGTCAGAAGGCGAGGAGCTGCCCCTGATTGCCTCACAGGTGACATCCCCGGCTATGCACTTTTGGAGCATCTTTTTTTTGGCGAGCACAGTAGCCCAAGGCTACCAGCGAGGAGGACAACGGGGAAGGGGCCCAGGCAGACCGCCTGAAAGCTTTGGTCGCAGTCCATCATGACGCCCTTGTGAAGAATATTGCACGCGGCAGGGGCAGGACTCCGCGGATAAGCTTCCAAACAAGAACGGCTACCTGTCAGGTGACATCGGACCATGAGGCCAATGCTACTGCTATGTTGATTCTCCGAAACAGTGCACGCAAGTAGAGTTTGCAGTGCAAGCGCAGCAGGAGCAGGATGCATCCCAATCGGATGAGCAGCACGAGGCACTCCATTTTGTGAGCTGTGCCGTTCCAATGCAACGGCCAAGTGTCAGAATGTTGGCTCCCTTAGAAATCATCCTAGCTGTCAGGCGAGAAACCCCCCTCGCCAGCGAGAATCTTGGGTTGTGAGCCTCCAAGGGTGTGTGCGCAGAAGCCCAAGCGCTGGCAAGCTGGCCTGCGGGAAACCTTTCTGCAATATGCAGCTTGTTCCAGCTGGGAGTGCCACAACTGGCCTTAGCTTCTGCACGCCAGCTTGTTTCAAGGAGCGGTTGCCGGAGCGTAAACCTGCAGCACCGTAGACAAAAGCCTGCGGGTGGAAGCTATAGTGCAGGTTGTCAGCGGAAGTCACGGAGGCCTGCTGTTACTCAGACAATCCAAAGGCAAGCGCTGAATTGCATTTTCGCAACCCACTTTGCGGCTCAATGTCAAGCCCACGGACCTAGACCTGAAGCATGATTGACAACAGATGCCATCCCCTACGCTTCGAGGCTTGCGTGGTTCGCCATGTCCGGGAAGGTAGGGACTGCTAACCTGGTGCGCTATGTCGAAGCAGGAGGTCTTATACGGAATACATTGTACCTGTGGGCAAAGCTTTTCGGCTCTTGTGTTAGGACTGCGGTATGTTGCTTGGAACGGGCGCGGACCGCACCTGGCTTGTCTGAATGGCCTTGGTCCTCTGGTCTGGTCTCCTGGTCCTGTGGTCCTCTAGTCCTTGAAAGGGCTGCCCCCCCCTTCACACCACTGTTTTTCTTACAGCCGCCATCCATGCCTGCAAGAGATGACATGTATCGTGTCCCGCCCATGTTTGCAGTAGGGGAAGGCTGTTAGGATCATTTTGTTTGTGCCATCCAGCGGCATACATGAATGTTTCTCTTACTGCTACAAATTGCAGTCTTCACGTTCTTTGCAAGGCTCTGAACGCTGCAGTTTACAGCATGCATCGACAGCCTTTACAAAAACAAAGTTGGCGTGCTGTGTTTACAGTGGGGGCAGCCTGTGCCGCTCTTTTCGGTCTTGAAATGGGGGGGGGTTGCAATCCCTGTGACTGTTGACACTTTTCAGAACCCAACAACATCCGAGAGTCTGAAAACAACGACAGTTGCAGGGATCGTGACCTCGACCACCACGATCCGTGTCACTGTTCACACTTTCAAGCACCAAGAGAGTCGGAGGTTCGAAAAGCGACGACAGTTACCAGGATTGCGACCCTGACCCCCGCCATCCCTGTGACTGTTGACACCAGGAGCATCCGAGGGTGTCAAAACGACGACATTTACGAGCATCGTGACCCTGACCCCCACGATCCGTGTGACTTTTCACACTTTCGAAACGCGAAGAGGATTCGAGGATCGAAAAGCAACGACAGGTACGGGGCCCGCTATCCCTGTGACTGTTGACGCTTTTTCAAAATCTGAGAGGTTCACCACCCCGAATTTTTTTTTGATCGGAAAATATTTTTTTTGATGGCCGGGGCAATCCCAGACCGAGGAAAGGTCAGCNNTGCGACAATAATGTTTTTTTGATCCGGAAAAAGTTTTTGTTTGATACCTAAAAAGTGTTTTTTGATCTTGAAAGTTTGTTTTTGACCCTTAAAAAAAATTGATGGACTTTCCATGCCGAAAAGGTTTTGGTAAACCCCTAAGAACCAGCTCCCACCCTTTGTGTGACGTGCTTCCGTTCAGAACGTCTCAACGCAGCCCCAATGAGCTTGAATTAATGGGTTCTACCTTAATTCATAATTGCCAGGGATCTTAGTAGCATGCAAAATATGTGTTAGGTGCCCCCCCCCATAAGTACTGTAATAGTGACTATAAGGGATAGTAAGGATCATGTTACGGTCTTACTATACTTGTATTATACCACTATTAAAGGCCGGTTGGTCCTCGAAGTTTCAACGGTTCTCTAAGGTCCTGGATTTGCGAATGTGCGGCTCCTGCGGCACCCTCCAACATGTAACGGTGCTTGTTATGACCCAGTGTAGCTTCTGAACGCGGCTTGTGACAAAAGGGCCGAGGCAAATGATCAGAACAGGGGTTTGGGGTATACTGAAATGTGTCTGTAAAGAAGTGTCAGGGGTTATAATTTCAAAGTATTCGGCCTTTTAGACTTGAGTTGCCAGTTTGCCACAGACTCCAGAGTCCTGCAATGTGAATCGCAACTGTACTTGCCTCCCCACAATTTGACAGTGAACCTGCCAGCGCCCCCTAAGAATGAATATTCCTCTCCATTAAATGATGGCATTATTTTGGGCGTGCTTGTTATTTAGGGCCCGGGCTGGGGTCTAGACCTTAGATATTTTGGCAGTTTCAATTTTCCCCATTCCCCTAGAACTCTCTTACCCTGTAGGAAGTAGGTTAATAGCCCCTACGAGCCATGTAATAACCCCAATTCTCCCCACCGTTAACCTGCTTACTGAGTCCCCTTGACGCTCCAAGTAACGAATATACCTTGGGTACTGCCCCCACTCTGGTACAGTAGGATAAAATCTATAATATCATTATGTGTATGATCCCTATTGTAGACAGTCAAGGAGTGGGGGCAGTGCGCAAGAAATACCTTCTAGGATAGTTACGAAGCCAATGACCTAGCTTGGCTCAGAGCGGGGAAAGCAAGGCCAAGTACGGGTGTATCTTAAACCCAAACTAATAGGAGGCTTCTGGTGACCTAATCCCGATGATTAGGACCCTGTAATTAGCAGGTGGCTATGACGGGATCCTAACTTTGGGGGCCGGGGTTACCAGAAGAATTCTTATTAACAAGCATTCATGAATTGCAACCCATGCATCACATGAGAAATGCATGGGCACCCACACAACCCAGATTTCCAAACTCCATCAGACCCTAGACCCTAAACCCGAACCCCCATCAATCCGGCACCAGCTACTTAACCTGCTCAGTTGAATCCAGCAGCCGGACCCTGAACATTCTAGTCTTCATGATGGAACCTCTATGAACCTTCAAATGTCGAACACTTAAATCTTCGAGCCATCTCAAACCCTTAGCCATTCCACTGAAGACTCAGCCCTAACCAGAGCGTACATGCTCAGCTCGATGTACTTCCTGTAGCTTTCCGGCAACCTCACCATCCATGGATGGAGTGCGCTGTGGTATGGCATGGACTCCACAGCATCAGGGAGGCGCATCACCAACAAGCGGGTGCTTAAGGGTGGTGGAGAGAGTGAATCCCTAAACCCTAAACCCTGGTAAGGTGACTCCGTTTGGGGTTTAGGGTTTAGGGCTGCCTATATTAGCTCAGCTAAGCTCCCTACTGCCCTTTAGGCACCACGAAGTGAAGGGGGCATTTTTTGGTCGGGCGGCTCGAGTTGTATGTGGGCTGGTGGTCTGTTGAAGTTAGGAGTTGTAGGCAAGGGAGAGGGAGGGTCTATAAGCCGTGTTTTGGTGCGGGTGGGTACGGATGTATAAGACCTTCAGTGACATTGTCATATTGTCCTAAACTGTGATAGAAATATATAGAGAGATACACACGCTCAGTATACCTATACATTTATATA